CCTCTTCATTTTGTATGGTTCTGGGCTGAGAAGGTGGAACATTCAATTTTAGGTCAGCGATCTCACATAAAACAAATATATAGAGTAAAGTCTATAGATATCATATTGTGCCAAGTACCATTCTCTTCATGCTTATTATTTAACTGCAGTTAAACCTTCCTTACCGTTCTCACAGTTATCACCCACAAATCCTTTCTGGCACAAGCAGCGGTATCCCTTGTCCGTAAATCCATTCTGACATTTACCATTACCAGAACACTTGGAATTGGAACAAAAGTTCTAAGAGTTAAAAAGGGAGAAGTGTTTGGTCACTTCGGATATTCAAACCCCAGTTTTAACGATCATTGATAATTTGAACAATATTTCAATACAAATCTATGCAAAAACGATCTATACAGAAGCTCTAAGGTTTAAAAAGGAGAAGCCTTTGGTCGCTTTCTGATGTTGAAGTTCAAACGCCAGTTTTTACATTGTCATAAATAATATTATCGGTACCACTGATTTAAGGATGAAATTTTTTAAAATTCAGGGGGCCTTACTTTAGTTACACCATATATGAACCCATCTCTTGGCACCAGATCTCCGGGAAATTGTTGGTCGTCAGAGTCACTTAGTTCACAAACGTACTTGCCATCAGTGTTCTTGGGGCCAAGGTTATAAGAAACACAATCGTCCTCTAGGTAGCAGCTCAGTTGACAGTTATTTTGAACCTCTAATGACAAATTCTTTATCAAGTGACCTGTGAGGGCCACTCCTTCAAACAGATCGGTGAATTCAAGTGCTCTGCAAGCCTCTGAAAGAAAGTCTGTTAACATGAGGCACATAATAACTATTCTGGGGGAAATTAACATCGGGCTGAATTTGCCGTAAGAGTAACAAGCAACTATAAACCAAGGTATGTCAAAACTTCTTAAATTATTAGCTCAGTTTTGAGAATAATGAACAATTTGAGTCATTTTACATGTCGAAACTAGCTCCTAGAGTAAAAGTAAAATCTCAGCCACACTCCGCATTATGTTGTCTCGGTTTGTGGATCACAGAATTCGTACAATGAAACGCTTCTTCCTCCAGGTGAGACTCTTGTGTCTTGCTATTTATACCACCCCTCCTTTGTTGGATGTATACCAAATAAGATATTACTGGAGTTACTCATTTGAGAATATTTGACGACCTACGGTAAAGTACTTATATGGTCAAGTGAGCGAAAACAAACGGAAAGGGCTTAAAGGATTCTCCATCTCGTTTTTCAATTTCGGTTGCTTGTAGTGTAGAGAGGCGAACTTACTTCAAAATTGTTTTTCTGTTCAATTTAGGTATTTCCCTTGGATTTACTCTCCATAAATGGGAGCAGCTAATAATGGCGAGCAAAGTTGATTTTTTCTTGTCTTTACTTTTTGCATCTACTTTAGACCAGTTAAGGAAGAGCTACATTATACACGATTGTGTAAACTGCGGTGTTAGTTTTCAAATTAGTAAGAGGACTTGCATTGGCAAGTTAGATTGTTTTGGTTTAAGGATAAAATGTGTAGACTAACGAGTGCCAAATCTTCGATAAAATACACTGACTAGATAGGCAGTTACCGAATTAAAAAAATGCAAGACTGTAATTCACTTTCTATTTCGCAGCGGTATCGCCCTGATATGTTGACAGTGGTGGAAGAGTAATGGAAAGGGCTGGTCATTTAATCTGTTAGTTGTTTTCACTTTACGTAAACCTTCACCTCAGTGCAATGGTTCGATTCACTTACCTACGGTTCGCACCGTGGTATTTATCCTGCATAAGTACATAAGGACCGAAAATATCAGTAGTTTAAGCGTCACTCGCAAGTATCTCCCAGGTAGTCTCATTGGTTAGACGTTCTTTTTTTCAGAAGCACGCAGATTTCAACAAAGCGGGACGAAATCTCAAATCATTGTTTACACATCCTAGCTACGTCGATGATGCTGTAATATATGTAATTGAACGCTAATTGTCTCACATTTTCTGCCCTCACCTGGTGATTAAAGTTATCCGATGGAAAGTTGTTTTGAAGAACTAATTTTTAATTTGTTATCCTCACAATCTCTTGATATTTCCAAGAAACAAAATGAAAGTGAAATGAAGAAACTTTCAGAAGGAACTTGGAAACTTATTCTTGTCAGGTCCTGTCAATCTTATCAAAAACATCCTCTCGTTTTCTACTCCTCTAGGAGGATTGCTCAACAGTTTTAAATACGTGGTATTCCTAAACCATTCTATAGTGCATTCACGCTGATTAGGGGATGCAGTTCAGACGTCGACAAGGTGAAAGCTGAAAATGTCTTCCTCTTCTGAATACTGAAAATATTCAAATAAGTCTACTCAAAGGTGTTCTTTAAAGCAATTCAAAAAAGCTTTTTGCCACAAGTCGTCGATAATCAATTTTTAATTTGGTCAAAGACAAATATGACAAGAATACTTCGTTAGGTTTACGTGCGTGGTTTTCACCTTAATGTGCTATGAAAGTAGAAGTCATTTGCGCCAGAATCTTTATCGTTCGGGTATATTATTCTGCATATTTTAATTAAGGAGACAAATCAAGAAAAACTTTGTCAGTTTAAAGAAGGTCAGTACCGGGTCAGTAGAGAAACTAGAGACATATGAGCTTGTTTCCTTCTTGAACTGCTTCGTGGAATGGCCTCTTCTTCAATGTAACCTAACCCCAAATAACTTTTGTCTCAGAGTTTTAATTGAAGTGCCTCGTGCATAATACACATTGCGCTGCTAGCTGGCGTGATGGACGCAAAGGAGCAATCTTTATTTAGAGCTGGTGGCAATATTTAGGTTTTAGGACATTTGTATTCATGAACGCTGGTGGCAATATTTAGGTTTTAGGACATTTGTATTCATGAACGCTGACCACACCTCTTTTAAATACGCAACGTTAATCAAGACTCCAGCTGATATAACGATATTTAAAGACAACAAATGGATAAACTTTCTCCTATCAACACCTAGGTAGAATAGATAACTAATATCATGTCTTATAATGGCCATTTTGGCAAATGTACAGTTTTATAGATCGAAATTTTCAAGCGAGTGTCAAAATAATCCTTGACTGTTTTGTTTTTGCTTCACTCTGAGATTGGTCCAGAAAACTCTCGCCACTCTCTTGATCAATCGTATACAAAACTAACACCGTTCACGACTCGGTCGCTCGTGTACGATCTCCCGCACTTAAGGCAGTTTGGTTGTCTTAGTTTGAGTTCTCATTGGCTTTTAAAGGCTGGTTTTCCTTCATTCTGCGCTCTATTTAGAAAAGAATACTAATTACTTAGTCAGAAAAAGTGTTCCAGCAACTGTTTTTGTTGAAGTGGGTCCACCTGGCTGGAACACAACAACTGAGAAATAAGAGAATCACAAGGTTTTGGGAATTGAATAGCTAACTCAAGATCCAGACTAAGTTTATCTGATCCGTATGGAGTTGACAGAGCTTATTTGCATCCGTATTTTATGTCTTCACTTTGTGCTTTGTAGATTTTGTTGCGATGAAAAAAAGCGAAGGAATGAAATGAACATTTGTCCTTTCTTTTCAGGACCCTTACGACGACTTTTTTGTTTAAATTATTTATTATCAGCTTATTTCTCTGCTGTAGTTCCAGTTTTGTTATCATCATCCTCTCTTCATCTCAACGCACAAGTGCAATAGCCATTCCCTATGTTCAGTACATGCGGTATTTATCCTAGTTTCTAATTAGTCAGAGGTAATGAAATGTTTATTCGAGAGATGCATGTGAATTAGTTGGACATCAAGGTGATGATATTTGTGTAAATTGTGCTTCTTAAATTGTGATATTTGTGAGGTGTTCATTTTATCAGCCATTCATGACGAATCTCACTATATCATTGCATTAGCTGTAATTTATTCTTTCCATTTTTGCTTTTATAAGAATATATATCTGTATTTTTTTAAATGTAACTTATATTGTATATTGTATGTGTAAATTGTAATTTGAGTTGTGGGCTCCTTTTGCATTTTATGTTTCCACACATCTTTATTATACTCAATTGTTTTAAGCAAGCCCCCATTCAAACCAGCTTGCAGCTGAACTTATAAACAAATGAAGGAAGAGGAAGTTACATATTGCCCTACAACGTGCTGTATGCGGCCCACCGAGGTGACTATACAGGTTATGAATTTTTCATCCAAATAATTGATATGCAAAAATTATGAGGAAATTATATGTCACTCGGCATTAGATCCGTTAAACCTTAACTATAACTTTTATCCCCTCCGACTTTTTTTTTATAAAGGAGCAAAAGCCCCTGTATTATTTTAGACTAATTACAACATATACTGCAATCAAATAACTTGTAAAACCAATTCTTCCCGTTGGTTTGTTGGGTTTGTCTTAAAATGCCTACCAGTACAAACTACTCCACGTTTAGCTGAAGATACCAACTTCTTAAACTCCCGTCTAAATCTAGCATTCATTACACCATAAATTATAGGATTTACTGCACAGGATAAATACACAAGCGTGAAACAAATCCACGGATATTCAGGAGGAAGAGTGTCCATAACTTTTGCGAGGATCATTCCAATAACTTGGGTTGGTACCCAACAAAGAACAAAGCCAAGCATGACAAAGAAGAGCAGCTTGGTGGTGTTCAGTTCTTCACAATTTGGCCTTACGTCTCCTCGTTGTAATGAACATGTGACTGTCAGGGAGTGTCGGCGGACCGCTCTATAAACCAAGAAATAGCACAGAAACATCAGGATAGACGGCAGAAGAAAACCAATTACAGCAACTACAAGAGGGACAAAACGAGGGAAACAAGTTCCTGCGTTTGGAATGTAGATGATTTCTCCTCCGCTGGCCCACACGTACAACTCACCAAAACACAGTCCCACCACCCATAACACAGATATCATGACAAATGTAGACCGCTTGGTAAATATTGATGGATATTTTCTTGGACGTACAATACGAAAATATCGATTTGCTGCCGTCAGCGTCATGGTTTGTAAAGAAATAAAGGCCAGTGAGACTCCGAGGATGCCTTGGAATTTACACATTGTGTCACCCCATGACCAGTCGACAGTAATCAAAGCAGTGATCGTTAATGGCATGCACAATGTGGCCATGAAGATATCTGATATGGCCAGGTTTACAATGTACGCGTTTGTCAGAGTTCGAAGTCGCTGACTTCGATACACAACTGCTAACACCATGGAATTACCGATTACTGAGGTTAACGATATGATAAGAACGAGAAATGATTTAAATATCATGGCGGAAAGGGTCTTGGCGTCCATTGTAGGTCGGTCACCGAATAGCAGATCAAACGCATCTGAACTCGACTCAAATGTAATCGCTTTTTTCAATTTTCGTGTTGGCTTTGTCAACTTGGGCCGCTGTTCATTGATGAATTAACCAGGAAATAGTATGATTGCTGCTAATTAAAATCCAAGGCACCTGTTTTTCCAACCGCGCAGCTTTTAAATTTTTCTTCACTGGATTAGACATTCCTTCTTTCTTTTTCTGTTAAGAAAATCGTAGGGAGGTCTTTCATCTGAGGAAGGATCCTTTTCTCCGTTGTCTTTATCCATTGGTTTGTTTTTTTTTTGTTGTTGCAAAGACTATTCAGTAAACCATAGAAATTATAAGCAGCTAAATAAACATTTAGTATTGAAGTGTCACTTTTGGTAAATATAGTCACTGTTCGTACAGAGTTAACATGAAATAATTTACAGTCGGAATGGTAAAGACAAAGGGAGAGGAGTAAATTTCTGTTGAATTCATCACTTAAATAACCCCCATCCCCCCAAATGAATCATGGTTCTTTTTTTTTTTTAATAAAAAATCACGAGGTTACTCGCATTATTTTTGTAAATAGATGGAGAAACATTCGGGGATTGAAGTGAGACCCGGAAGAAACCGCAAATGGAAAATAAACAAAGAGAATTTCATTAGGAAGCCGGCGGCTCGCTCAAAGAAAATACATCTCCGTAGAATTATTTGTCCAGCAGTTGTTCTGCTTCGGACGTGTTCGAGCTTTTTAATTTAAGACTGACGTAGTCAGGATTTTCCCCATTATAACAAGTCCTTCTTCCCGAGTTACATCATTTACTTCGGCCAAAAGAAAATACTGACACATAATTTGCTCTCGGCAACGTGGCTTAATTTCTTTGCTGACCAAACTTTGGCGTCTTTGCAAATAGATAAATTAAAAGCGGGCATTTTCAAGTAAAGCCTAGTAAATCTAAAAATTGTTGTGCTCAAAGTTTCGCACATTAGCTTCGCCTTGTACCTCAGAGTTAAGTTATTTCTTGTTTCGGATTTTTTTCCTTGAATTGAGCAAAGCTTCGTCGGCTCACCACAGTGAGAAGTTTTGATGTCAAGCAGCTGACCTGTGTTCGTTAACAGTTTGATGAAGGACTTCTGTTGATACTAGCCGCGTATTTTTCTAGAAATTCGGTTAATGAAATGATTTATTGACAACCGAAGCAGCACATGTAGGTTGGGGTAACGAGTGGCGACTGGGTTATGAGGGTCATGTGAGAGGAATCTGGACACTACTCTTTCTGTCCAACATCCAACATGGTGTACATGTGATAAATAACACTTCCCGGACACTAAACAAGGATTGCATGAATGGCCTTACTTGTTCCTTTGTGATCCATTCAAAATGATGCAGCAGCGTTTGAACGGGTTGAAAAGCCGCAGTGATGAATCAAGGCTTCAAGCGGCCAAAGATCTGCAGCATTATGTGTCTACAGAACTCCGCGAAGCTTCTGCCGAGCAGTACACGAGTTTTATGGACGAACTTAATCATCACATTTTCGAAATGGTGTCGAGTTCTGATGCGAATGAAAAGAAAGGAGGAATTATGGCAATTGGTGAGTGGTGTTATGATAAACTTTGTTCTTTTATGGCTCCATTGCTCATGTATTTGCGGAAAAGTTTTCAAATGCCTTCCAAGACTTGTTACGTACATGTAAATAAACAAAGATCATTCGGTTCGTGATCAGTTGATGATCTTAGACTCAGACTCCACTGGACAATTATTTCCTTTCTTTGCTTTCTACACGACTGAACCATCGATGAAACTTAAATGAACATGACTTTCTACAGTTCATATATACAAAAACGTCACGTGTTTGAAGTTATTTTCATTCTGTTATAGTGGCTCTTATTGGCATCGACAATGGGAATACCACAAAAATGAGCAGGTTTGCCAATTACTTGAGAAACCTGTTACCGTCAAATGATCAAGTTGTGATGCAGATGGCTTCCAAGGCTATGGGAAGATTAGCTCTTACAGGAGGGACGTTTACTGCTGACTATGTGGAGTTCGAGGTGAAGAGAGCGTTGGAGTGGCTTGGAGGTGACAGGAATGAAGGTCGTCGACATGCTGCTGTAAGTACATACACCATTATCCAAGCTTTTTCAGCAAGAGGCTATATTCTACACAAGTGGAGTTTGCGTCTGCCAACTATAACTCTAATATTAATTTTTATGATGTTTTCTCGTATTGTCTCTTTTTGTGATATTTTGGTTCAGAATTTAGGGTAATTTTAGGTAATTTTCTAAATTTTATTGCTGTTAAGGATTCTGCTTCTCAGTTGAAAACTTTTATCATCATTCTATTACAGGTGTTGGTCTTGAAGGAACTGGCACTGAATGCTCCAACGTTCTTCTTTCAACAAATTCAGCCTTTTTTTGAGAATATTTCAAATGCTGTACGAGACCCAAAGGTAAATTTAGTTCAAGACATTAAGAATCTCAATAAACATGATTTGCCATAGTTATTACAATAGTTACAAATTAGAATTGAGGTTCTGTATGTAGCAAAGAAAGTGTTCACAGGTTGATTTTCATCTCATGTAATGTTTATAGCAAGCAATCCGTGAGGGTGCAGTGGAAGCCTTGCAAGCCTGTCTTGTTATTTTGGCTCAGAGAGAAACAAAGGAAATTCAACAACGCCCCATCTGGTACACTGTAAGTCTTATGCAGAAAATCTTTTTTCAATATGTGTACATGTACAAAGTGATGAGCACTTTCACTGCAAAACAAATTTCATGGCACATTACTGGTAAGTGGAGTGCTTAATGTCTGTTGATAATCTTATGCAGTGACAGCATTCTCCCTTATTTTAAGCAAGACAGGTAAATTTTCAAAACAGTAAAGCAATACTTTTAAACAATACTGTTGAATGATTTGAAGAGATATAGTTGGTAGTAAGAGGTACTGGACCATAATAGGCCAGTGGTCTCTATTATGACTACACATTTATATATTGGGACTACTTGACTAAGATCTTGCACTACACTGTACAAGCTCCTTTTTTGAAAAGCTCTTGTTATTTTACTTTTTTAGCAAATCTATTCTGAGGCAAAGAGAGGGTTTGAGGACACTCTTAACACCAAAGAAAAGGGTGTTGTTCTCACAAAAGATGACAAAGCTCATGGATCTCTGCTTATAATGAATGAACTGATAAGAAGTGCAAGCATTGAAGGAGAGGTTGGCATGACATCTGTAAATTGTAATAATGGTGTGAATCCTGTATGAGATAATCATCAAACTAACACTCAAATCCTATGATATTACCAGCCAGTTCTTTTAGATTTTGTATAATCTTTTCAGTTCAAGGTGATGTATGTAACCCCTTTGACCCCTCAGAGCAACTAGAATCTAATTTTTCCCCAAAAAGTCACCCCTGAATCATACATTGAAGTCTTGATCACCAACTAAAAAAATTCTAGATTGTAATTTAACAAATGTAAAGGGTAAAGTCATTGACAAAAAACCAAAAAGAAGGATAAAAAGAACGAAATAAAACAAACAAACTAAATGTCTTAATGTGAACAAATTGTGCATGCAATTCATAAATACCTATGTCATATCTCTTTAAACCCAGGAAAGCAACTGTGTTCCATTTTGTTTTTTATTTGTATTAACCCTTTACCTCCCATAAAAGAGAATTTCCCCTTACAATATCAATACTATATGAAGTATAGCAGTCATGAGAATGAAGAAAAATATAAATTTGGGGATTACTAGTTGATTCAATACCAAATTCTTGGAACTAATATCATAAGAATTGTATAGTAGACCGTAAGGAGAATTACTTTTGAGATCTGGGAGTAAAAGGGTTAAGGGATTTGAGTCAAGTTTTATTTTACCATTACAGAGAGCCAAACAGGAATTAGAAGAAATCTACTGTGATCAAACCCAAACTCAATTTAGTCTGGATGATCTAGGCATTAATTCTCCCAAGAGTAAGTTTGCTCTGCAGACTGGGTACCAACATCAGAGATCATTGGCTTTACTTGGAGGGGGAGGGATGGCGGAAACTATCTGTCATAGTAAAGTTTGTAAAGATTTCATGGATGACCACTTTGAAGAGGTGAATATGTTGTTGCTTTTATATTTCTTGAAGTGTGAAGTATACTGGGTTTTTGTGCATGTGCAGTACTGTCAGTAACAGTGTGTCAGTCTGTACACAAGTTGACAAAGTGCTGACTAAGGGGTGACCATGGTCAGACTTGTTCTCTTTCTTGTGAGAGTAGCAGTGCTTGTGGTCACTTGTGGGTGGAGAAGCTAGCATTACCAAGCAGAATGTGAGATTGTTGGACAGTTTGGAACTCAGCCATTTATAGACACTGTTAAGTAGAATGCATAGTTAGGGAGAAGAGGGGAATCATTCTCAGGAAAACTGGGCACAAAACTTTTGTCAACAGATTGCTTCGGGTCAATACGACATTTGAGAGAGCTGTAAATGAGCTGTTATTTGAGAGAGATGTAAATGAATTCAAATTGAGCATGCTCATAATTTTTTGCTACAAGTTATGTTCATGTAATGGTGTTCTGTGAACTTTGCTAAACTGTGTGGAGCTAAAAAGAGTATTTATAGATCTATATATTACATTGGATATTTGAATACAATTTGTTTGTACTCCTCCTTACCCATTTTTCTTCTTAATTCTTTGTATGCATGTTCTTTAGGTGTGCAAACTGGTTCTAAGATACAAAACAACACGGAACAGCTCCATCCAACAGATGCTATTGACCATTCTGCCCAGACTTGCTGCATTTCAACCAAAACGATTTGTTAAAAGGTAAGTTAAGCATTTGTTTGAATTGGATATTTGCTCACCTGTATGATCCTATCTGGAAAAGTTGTGAGTTCCTTCTTGGTTGATGAACACAGAGAGTCAGCAAATTGGTACTGACAGTATTAAATGCTATCTGCAATTTTTGTTAATGAAAGTGAATTCTGTGCTGAAAAGAGCATGAACAAAGACTTGTGAGTATTTTGGACAGGATTTATAGATACTAATTATTAATTTTCTTTCTTCTATTTTACATAAATTTCATGTTTACTTTATGCCAAATGTACATATGGCTTTGGGTGTGATATTGATTGTAAATTAATGATTTTTAGATACCTCAGAGAGACTATGGACTATTTAAGTGTCGCTCTTAGAAGAGTAAGTAAAACATAACAAAATTATCATGTGCATGACTGTCCTCTTTGAAAATTACAGGTTGGAGTGCACAACTTTAAGTTGATATGTCATGTTTATGTTAATTGCAGAGTTTTTGATAAGAAATGGTCTAGCAGGAGATTTAGTATAAGTAGTAATAAAACATTCTCCGGCCCTGATTGGGAAAAGTTGAGGCTATTGAAATTTTCTCAGAGGATTCTGCCTTGTTAAGTGTGGAATTCTGACTAATGAATAGAGAATTCTACTTGTACTTGAAAGTAGAGAATTTTGCCTAGTAGGGGAGAGTTCTGCCAGATAAACATATAATTCTCTTCTCTCTCAATGAAGGGCTTGTTCATGAAAACAAATTTTTCCTAGTTACGGTGTATTTTGGGAATTAATGAATAAACAACATGCTTAAATGTACTTCATATTTTTTTATCTGTAAATATGAAATACTTTCTTACTGTAGCACAAAATATGTGTACTGAAAAGATTGTCAATGGTAGATTTTTCATTTTAAAGGAAAGAGAGCGGTCTTCAGCTTTCAAAGCAATTGGATTGATAGCCATTGCTGTACGACAAGATGTTGAGAAGCACAGGGGACCTGTGTTTGAGCAAGTCAAAGTTCTTCTTCCAATGAAGGATCTTGGGCATAAGTGAGTGAAGAGATTCTAGTTCAGTAAATTCTACTTGTCTCTACTCTTTTCAGTTACAAAGTTTTGTACATATACACATCATCCCTAAGTAAGAAGGATCTAAATGCAAAATTAATGTGTACCTGGAAATTGCAAGGGGCCTGAGGAATGGTTTTCATGGTATTTGCTATGGCCACAGGGCATATTGCTCATTGGAGCTGGTTCATTTACACCATTTATTTTTTTCATTGTTGCATTATCTTTCAGTTTTACTGCATATCACACATTCATGTCAACTTACATGTACCAATGATATTCCTGTAACTGTCATCTTTTCAGGCGTCAAAAAGCAGTGACTGTTGATCCAATGGTGTTTGCCTGTGTTGCAATGATGTCAAGAGCCATTGGACCAAAGATCTCAAAAGAAGTTAAAGACCTTTTAGAGCCAATGTTATCTGTTGGGCTGAGGTAAAGTATACACAGCTGTACTCGGTATATGTAATACTAAAAGTAATGGTGATAATTTTGATGTAGTGAATCACATTTGGAGTGTGAGAGTTATTTTCTTTGACATATTAAGTAAATGGCCCTAAGGATTAATCCCCTTGATAAAGGTGTTCAACTTCTTTTAGCCTGGGAGCAGGTCTTATTGTTAGCCCTCTGCCCCCTTGGAAGATTTTAGATGAGTTTGGGAGCAGTTTGCAGGGAGTCTGGCTTCATTAGACCCCTGCATACCTCTTGCCACCTTAAATTTCTCAAGGCCTCTTACTTTCCGGTGGGCAAAGAAAGACCCATGCTGAAGGGCTACCAATAACGGCCTGTTCATGTCAGCTAACCTCACTGTTAGTACATGTAGATGTTCAGTGTAGGTCTGTCGGTGAGCATTGATGATTATTCTCATACTGAATATGATTTAATGTGAATCTCTTCAACTAGTCATGATGGACCTGATTATAACATGAACCTAGCTCTCATATTATATTATTTTATTTGTAATATCACAGCCCAGCCCTTACAGCATGTTTACATGACTTAGCACACCAGGTACCACAACTAAAGAAAAGTATTCAAGGTTTGTGCCAAATGAAAACTCAATAACAAATGCATGATTGTATTTTTTTGCTCATGTATTGATTCTGTGCCTGACTTTTTCCTTTTGCTCATGGATTAAATAAAACTTACTGTGATAATTATTTTTAGCTTAGTAACTATCATAAAGGGTTAACCTATTACACAAATCTGGGTGCAATTTTTAATTTTTTTAATTTTGTTTTCAACTTTCAGATGGTCTCCTCAAAATGCTCTCTACTATCTTGATGAACAAGCCTCCACGACATCCCGGAGCACCAAGAAATGCCACGCCTACTTTAACTCCTTCAGGTGAGGCTGGGTAATTGTTCAGTAGTGTTAAACTTAATGTATATGAGCATCTGTTGAGGAATGCATTCAATACCCTTGATCTAAGACCAAGTGTTCTTGTTACTTGGAAATCAGCAAAACATTTTTGGTCATGGCTTTCTGGCTCACAAACTGGGACTGTTGTATGTATACATGTGCTCTCTGCACCTTCCCTGATCTTTTCTATGGCTTAGTCATCAACTAACAGTCCAACTTGATAAAAACATTTTCATGTACAACTGTACTTCAAGCTAAGATATCACAATCATCAAATGTTGAATATAAAAGCAGTCTCTGTGTAGCCATCTTTGTAAGACATGGAGTGCTTGACCACTACCAGTACATATCCTATTACTTTAATTCTAGAGATAAAAACAAGGCAATACAAACTCCACTTAGTCAATACAATAAGAAAGAAATTAATACAGTTAACCCAAAAACTGCCTGAAGTTTTTGTTTCTGTGTTTATTTGGAAAATTCAGTCGTATTTCAAAAGTGCAGTTCCAAATGTTTAAGTGTTCAAAAGCATCAGTTTCGGTAGTTATAGATGATCCTTTTGGTGCTTGAAACTTGGTACTAGATAGCTCACTAAATCTTGAAGGTTGCTTGATAAAGGATTTACTCGATAGAGTTTGCTTGTAGGACTCTTTTGGCATCCCTTACATCTTTGAGAAGACTCATGTGTTTATCGGGAAAAGTCAGTTGCATTTCAAAAAAGAAGTAACAATCCTCTGAGAGCTTCAAATCCAGAACCACACACCATGTGCTCTGCCACTGAGCTATCATATACCTTGTGCATGTGCAGTAAATGTCAGAGGGTGATTTGGGACAGGAAGAAAAACAAACCTTCCCATGTAACCCTTTAAACCCTAAGAATGACTTGCCACTAATTTCTCATTACAAAATCACCCCTGAATCACATATGTTAGGGTCATGAGAATAAAGGAAATGATCACTAATGTTAAAGAAGCTTTTGATTGGTAAACAAATTCTCCTTGTCAGCACCTCAAGAAATGTATAAAGAGCACTATAGGGAATATAAATATCTTATTTTAGGGTGTAAAGGGCAAATGGAAGCCCAAGTTAGAAGTCATCAAGTTGTAGGAAAAGTTTGAGTATCCAATGTACTGATACTGATTAACTTTTGTACTGATTAGCTTTTGTGCTGACTTGGAAATTTTTATTCTTTTTTCTTTTTTCAGCCTCATCTCATTCACTGTTTGACACTCTGGATGTGACCAGCACTGTTTTGGCTTTAAGGACCTTGGGTACCTTTGATTTTGATGGTGAGAGCTCTTTGTAAGGAGTTCTGGATAGTGCCAACAACCATCCAAAATTTAAAAAAAATTGAGTAATGTACAATAGTCTTATTTATTTACATTTCAAAATTGTACAGTCATTCACTAAAACTACTTGACATGTGGTTAATGGTTGTTTCATTAGAATTGATTTACTTCTGATTGGTGTTCTCTCGACCACCATTTAAGTTGAATCCCTTTGTTTTATGATGAAGAATGCAATATGTGGCTTTCAGTTGAGGGTTGTCCAATACCACGGGTCATAATGAGTTGTAAAACTGACTTGATGATGAATACGGTCAGTATGGGTAGTGTAATGTATTCATGAACAAGAATTAACACTGTATGGGTGAATGTACTCTTCACCTACAGGACATCTGCTGGCTCATGGAAATCTTGTTCGTCATTGTGCTGATACCTTTCTGGCAAGTGAGCATAAGGATATCCGCATAGAAGCTGTCAGAACTTGCTCTAGGCTCTTGTCACCATCTCTCCATGTAAGTGGTAATTGTTGTGTTTACTTATAAAAACAAAACAGGGGAAATGGTCATTTTAGTAATAATTATATATTGCAGTTGAGTTTTTTAGTTTAATCTCAAAGTGTGGCTAACAAGAAGGATGAACATGATATTACTGATCAGAAATATTTGCATAGAGCTGTACATGCAAGCAGTTTCTGTGTCATGAAGCCACATGCAAGCAATTTTTCCTTTGGTATTGTTTTGCGGACAAGAGTGAAATCATTTCCTCAAAACTTCCTAGAGCATCTTGACCCTTGATTTACAATCCTCAATTCCTCGCTACTTGAGCCTGAATTCTCAATAGTTTCAAAGTTGAGGATTGAGTTTTGAGTGGAGACTGTCAAGTCACCTTTGAGCAGTAGTATGAGTGTAGTATGTTATTCAGCCTTATCTGCATAATGCTTGTTTTGCAGCCTATGGTTGTACCACATGCTCCTCTTCATCATGCCAACATCAGTGCCAGCTCAACACAAGTTGTGTCTGAGGTGTTGTCTAAGATGTTGATGGTGGGAATAACTGATCCAGGTATGCTTTAGATTTCTTTTTTTTTTTTTTTGAGGTACCTAGGGTGCTTTTTTGCTGCTTTTCCACAGTCATCCTCGCAGCTTTGCATAATTGTGCTGACATTAATTGCTTTGAAATGATTGATAAATGTTGGTTTTGATGTTATTTCTGGCAGTCTCTTGTATAATTATGATGCTGTAGGTTGCAAAAACCCGCTGGCTGTCAAACCATTTTGGATTGGCTATGTCGTGAATTGTGATCAAAGACAGAAAACAAGTCTTTTGAACTGATTCTAATGTTAAGAAAATTGGCTCATATATGTCTCAGAATGCTGGAAATCTTGTCTCAGCGAGTTTCAAATTTTAAAACTTTACATGGGAGCATAGGGCTCTCAGTTCACATCATGCATTTTATAACATTTTCTAATCACAACCCGTTCATACATATAACATGAAAAAAAAATTCATGCAAACCATGACACAGGAAGCACTATGTAGGTTTTAACCTGTGTTTTTGTATGTGTACATAATTTTTTGCAACTGTTTTGGCTGCAGACCCAGACATTCGTTTCTGTGTGTTGTCATCCTTGGATGAGAGATTTGATGCACACCTAGCCCAGGCAGAGAACTTATCGGCTTTGTTTGTGGCTCTTAATGATGAGGTATGTTTGATTGAAAAAGAAACTTACTGTACAACTATGCATTGTGTACATTTGCAGTTTATTGTCATAGTATTTATATATGTTGATTGATATACTGTAACTTTTATCTGAGTGGGTTGAAGTTGGTTATTGTTATTAACAGGAGTTTGAAATTCGTGAACATGCTATCTGTACAATTGGAAGGCTTAGCAGTTTGAATCCAGCTTATATCATGCCATCACTGAGGAAAACTCTTATTCAGGTACAACAGTTATTAATAGTATTTTTTCTCAGTAACCTGTAGTTGTTGGTATCACAATGTTAATTTCATTGGATTTTTATACTTTGTATCTATCGAACTGTTAGTATTTATTGTTGCTCACCTCAATTCTATATGTTTTTATTGGAGTCATATAGAAATTGTTTTTGCTCAAGACAAAGGGGTCTAAAAATTTCCCAGGCCTATAATTAACAATCGTTTGCCAAGGGCACAGTGAATGTTGTTGAATAATCCCAAGATTCAACAATATTCACTGAATCAAATAATTGTTTTTATGAGTATAATATGGTGCCTTTTGAATTCTGTTGGTCGTTTTGATGAAGAAACCATTATGATTCAATTGTTTTCATCACTTGTATCAAGATAAAGAACCAGTTTTCACTGGAATTTGATAAGTTCATTTAATTAAATTCATTTAATTCATCTTTCTTTTGAAAAGGGTTACTCCAAACTTAATAGCATCTTTTGTGTTCTTTTGAATTAAGTTTTGTTACCTTGTTCATCACTTCCTCAGTAACACTGACAAAACACTAGGCAACCATTTTTAAATTTAGCACTCCTGCTAAATATGACTCATACCTCAACCAATCAGAGGGGACACATCTCTATAATCACCAGAGCAATTATACTAACATACATGTATAGTAAGCTGCACATGTTCCTGAATTGATAACATAAGGTTCTTTTTTGCAGACATAAGTACTGTCTGCAAAAAATTAATTACTGTATCTGTGGAGTCCCAAAGTGAATGATACTTGCCTATAATATACCTTTAGGAGGGGGGTTCTGAACATTGCATACTGCAAAAAATTCTGCAAATCTGGTAAATAAATATAACAAAAAAGAATCAGTGAATACCACAAGAAGTAAATAACAAGTAGAAAGATGAGGTCATGCTGAAACCACCACAACTCTGTATGTTATGGTTCTAATAGCAAATAACACAGAAATAACAATGATGAACATTACATCAGGTAATTGTTTCTGAAACACTGGAAACAGGAAAAGGCTGGGAACAGGGTGAAAGACTTGGAGGATAGTTTTCAATACCCTCCAAAATGAATAAAAAAAACTGCATCACACAGGTTCTGAGAATACTGTGAGATTAAAATTTTTGAAATACCACATGATAAAATGTCCAATTAACTGAAATCCCCAGTGTCTTCCTGTTTAGACTTACATGTATTTGCCAGCTTGTGTGAATGGCTACGCAAGTTAAAAGTCATTTGCATTAAGAAACAGGAATTCATCAATGTATGTTTTTCCTGGAGGGTTATGATTTTAGATGTTTTCAATTGTCAGTTATGTTTGTGACATATGACAATTTTGTACATGTACACTGTAGATATTGACTGAGCTAGAATACAGTGGAGTGGGACGCAACAAGGAACAGAGTGCTCGTATGCTGGGTCATTTAGTATCCAATGCACCAAGACTAATTAGGCCTTATATGGAACCAATCCTCAAGGTCAGAATATGTAACAACCTTTTACTGGGAATGTTAAAAGTTTGTAAACAAGTACACAAGCCAAAATAAATTTCACTTGACCAGCAGATGAAAATCAAGTTATGCAAAGATCATTGTAGGTGTACTATAATTTAAAGGCAGAAAGAAAGCCTGAAAAATTCAGGTTTTGGTGTGATTCTAATGTGTGCCTCCTACAGTATGCATGGGCACCATCATCCTTGATATGCCTGCCCCACCAGTATCTATGAGTTTGAATCCCACCAAAGTCTGAATTTTTTCAGGCTTCTTTTTAGCAATATTATTGCTTAAATTGCACACTTGTGAAAATTATTGCTTTACTTTCTGTGAACATGCAGATATGAAAGAAAAATGAATTGTATGGCACAAGCAGCATTTCCTTTTGTTTGTCTTGTATGGCTGCCTTGTTGAGAAAATTAATTTGTTTTTTAAACAGGCGCTGATTCCAAAGCTAAAAGACCAAGATCCCAATGTAGTTATAAGTGTATTGGCTGCCATCGGAGAACATGCTCAGGTATCATTCAGAGA